CCTTCACGGCGCCGTACTGGGCCTGCATCTTCTGCTGGGCGGCCTCGTCCACACTGGGGTCCCCGATCCGGCCGAAGAGGCCGGCGGCCTCCTCCAGCAGCCGGTCCAGCAGCACGGCTTGGCTGTCCACGTGGTGCAGCAGCACCCGGGCATGGCCCAGCTGCCACTGCTTCTCCTTCAGGCCCAGCTGCAGCTCGGCGGGGGGCTCCAGCGCCACCAGCATCTTCTGGAACCAGCGGCAGAACTCGTCCCGGGCCAGCAGGTACTCGCTCCAGTGCAGCCACACCCACTCGATGCGGCTGTGGACGGAGACCACATGCTCAGGGCGCCCCCTCCCAGTCCCGGGGACCTGCCGGGCAGGGGTCCCCTGACAGCCCTCTGGCCTCAGAGTCACCTGGGCAGCGGGCGGAGGCTGGGGAGTCCAGGCCCCCCCTCAAGGTCTCAGGCCAGCGGGCCAAGACCCCTCTGCTCAGCACACAAGCTTCCGGGCGAGGCTCAGGCCTGGGAGACTCAGGGCCCAGCCTTACCCCCAGAACCACCGGCCGCGGGGAGAGCCCTGTTTCTGCCCAGCCTCCCGCTGTCGGGGCACGGGCACCCCCCATCATTCCTCCCTGGCCTGGGCTCTGAACGGGTTGGCCTAGCCCTTAGCACCTGCGCGCCCACGGACAGTCAAGAAGAGACCAGTCGTGTAGGAAGGCGCTCGGTCACCGGCAGGGTGTGACAGTGTCCAGGCTGGTGGCACCCAGTGGGCACGGGAGGCTGGGGCCTGCGTGTGAGCTTTGGGGCGCTGGGAACCCACTTCGCAACCCTGCCTCTCCCCCGCCTCAGTCTCCCTCTCTGTCACACGGAGGCGGCTCCATGTCCCTTGGCAACGTCGAGCCTTTCTGGTTGGACCCTCCAGGGCAAGGGTGTGGCCGGCAGAAGGTGCTGGGCGAGGCCATCCCCACCCCAGGCACTCGGGCTTCACGCAGAGGGGAGCACGCTGCAGCTTTGACCTGGACATTTTCCGTCCCCTCCGTCCTCCTGGCAGCCTTCAAGGAACACTCGACCACGCCCACCATCAAGAAGACAAGCTTGGTTCAGAGAGGCCAAGTGACTTCCCAAGGCCATACAGGAAGCAGCCAGCAGGGCAGAAGTCCATGCCAGGTCTGAGGCTCCACCCCTCTGTATCCTCCCAAGCACCACCCGCCTCCCGGGTCCAGTCAGGGACTCGGGGCTACACTGATAGCGGGGGGACGGATCCCTCCTCCCAAGCCCTCTGCCGTCGGCCAGAGGGCGCCCCCGTGGTGAGTCTACTGGGACCTGCTGGCCAAACATGCCGGGCTCCCAGGACCCATGATGGTCATGGAGCGCGATGATAATTAGAAAGGCATCCCAGGAGAACGTCCCGTCCCAGGAACCCCAGGCCTGGAGGAATGTCCCCGGGGCAGGGGTCCCAGGCCTGCCTGGTGGTGGGCAGGGCGGGTCGGCCGCCGCCGAGGACCGAGGCCAGGCGAGGCCGGGCCCCGGCCGCCCTACCTGTGACAATGAGTCATGTAGGTGACCGTCTCCTCCCACTGGGTCTTGACGTCCTTCAGCTGGGCCAGGATCTGGGGCCTCTGGTCCCCGGGGCAGCAGGCCAGCAGGGCTTCCGCCGCCTGCAGCACCAGGTCCACCCTCACGCGGCCCTCGGGCTCCAGCTGGCATATTTTCTGTTGGCGACACAGAGCCGGTTTCCAGGGTTGGGCACACGCAGACAGGCACAGCTGTGGGAGATGCTGGCCTCAGAGGCCAGGGGGCTGGGGCTTGTGTCATGGCCCCGGCATCTCTTTTCCTGGGGTCTTGGGTGACCTGCCGGCGGCTCTGAGGGCAGGGCGGACCCGGGGACGGCAGGGGGTGCCTGGTGCTGCCTGGGGAACAAGCCCCCTCCTTCCCACCCGGCCCCCTTCCCGCTGTGTGATCTCAGGGTTCCTTCTCTCCTCTGACCCAGTTGCCTCGTGTGCAAGGTGCAGGTGTACCCAGGCTCCACCTCTCGGGTGTTTTTTTGGGATGCCGTGAGAAGCCACACAGAAAGCGCACGTCACGGCACGCGCGGCCGTGAGGGTCAATCACAGGAAGCTGGCCAAACACGCCGGGCTCCCAGGGTCCATGATCATCATGAAACTCGATTATAATTAGAAAGAGGCGGCGGGGCTGGCCCACCTCCCAGTAGAACGTTCTGTCCCAGAAACCCCAGGTCTGGAGGAATGTCCCCAGGGCCGGGGTCCCAGGCCTGCGTGGTGGTGGGCAGGGCGGGTCTTTTTTTTTTTGAGTCAGAGTCTCACTCTGTCGCCCAGGCTGGGCTCCAGCAATCCTCCCGCCTCAGGTTTCCAAGTAGCCGGAACTACAGGTGTGCACCACCACGCACGGCTAATTTTTTGATTTATTGCAGAGGCGAGGTCTCGCCAAGTTGCCCGGGCGGGTCGTGAGCCTGGAACCGTCTTTGCCCTTGCAGCTTGCACCAAGGCCTGGCTCCCAGGCTGCTCCCACCAGAGACAAGCACAGCAGGGGCACGGAGGCAGGCTTGACTTTAGCTCAAGGACGCCCCGCGGCCTCACAGACTGCCTTGGAGCCCACGGCCGTCGGAGGCCGCCGCCTCCCCGCTCTCCTGGCCTTGGGGTCAGAGCTGCGTGCCTCCGACCTGTCTGCCCCACCTGCCCGGGCTCCCTTCCCCCATTTCCTCGTGGGGTGTGTCTCCTCGTAAATGGCTGGCGCCCTCAACCTCGTCTCAGCGTTGGCTTCTTGGAGGACCAAGACGGACACACCATGCCCGGCAAATCCAGGCTCCGATCGAGGTTCGCCACCGTCCTTCGCGGTGACTCTGGTTCACTGGCAGTTGAGGCTGGGTCTCCTTAGTCAAATACGACTGGATGCCCAGACAGGGTCACTCCCTCCGACCTGGGTGACCTCCGTCAGGGACTTGGCTTCTCCAGGCCTGTGACACGGGAGCGGGGAGGGGACCTTTACTCACTTTGGGGTCTGTATCCGCTGGTGGCGTCACTGCCTGAAGCCCAGTTTCAGACCCCAGCCTGTCCCCTGGGACCGGCGGTCAGTGTCCGCCGACCAGAGTCCAGTGGCCTGCTTGTCTCTGGCCCTTCTCTGCAGATGGGGCGGGGCGGTGCCCTGGCCCTGTCAAATGCCCCTCTGACGGCTCTGTGACCACAGGCCAGTCACGTGACTGCCCGGGGTCTCCTTTTTCATTCCGAGACAGCGACAACAGTCTCTGCTCTGTCTACCTTCCACGGTTAAAATACCCATTTTAAAAACTAGCCAGGTGCAGTGGCTCACACCTGTCATCCCAGCACGCTGGGAGGCAGAGGCGAGAGGCTTGCCTGAGCCCACGGGTTCGAGACCTGCCTGGGCAGCTTGGCGAGACCTCGTCTCTCCAATAAATCAAAAAATCAGCCGGGCGTGGTGGCACCC